TCGAGTTCAAAAGGTTTACAAAGAGTTTTATTGGGTAGAATAACAGCCAGGAAAATAAAGAAACACAGCCACTGCAACAGAATATAGTCGGAGAGTATAAGAATGATAAAAAACGACCGTTTTGTTTGTTTGTTTGTTTTATAATTAAAGCCTTCGTAAAGAATTCCCAGTGTAAGGGGATCGTCGATTATGCGAACACAAATAAACAAATAAATGAAAATCGAACGCAAAAAGTGTCAAAGTGGCGGGGGGTTGGAAAATATACAACTCCTCTATCATTACGTAAAAAATTAACGCCAACAATATCCAACGCTTATGTTAGCCAAAAATATACAAAAAAAACAAAACAAAACAAAAAAGCAAGGAAACAAAACAATAATTGGTAAACTTGTTTACAAAAAGCACAGATTTCTGCAAACAATTTGCCAAGTTTGGGGGAGCTCATCGATATTTTAAGTAATTATCTTTTTCTCTCTTTCTAAATTCTGCTATAGGTCACTGATAGATTTTCTTGTTACTCAAAAGCAACTTCGAGCATCACGATAAACAAAGTCAAGACTGCTCATGTCGTTTAAATTACCTCTGACAATACTGCCTTTGTATAGAAATTGACCATCATTTTCCAGTCTTCAATACGTTCTGCTACACAGCAATTGATCTTCAGCTTTTGAGGGCTCAAAACTCAGCAGATATGTTGCTGTACATTTGAGGAGGTTAGCTTTTATACTCTCCAGATAATGATTTCCATTTTTATCTATGTTATCAATCTATTTTTGTTCATATCCTTTCCACAAACGGGGAATTTCAACATAGATGGGTAGAATTCAGCTCTTCCAACAGTTCCGTTTAATTTGCTAAAAAACATGATATCTAACAAAAATGCTACCCAGATATATTGATAGAAGAGAGACAGCCCTTACAATCTTAAGGGTATACGTAGACACCTTTTTTGAGGCTCTCTTATGTAATAATATAGCTTAGGTTTTGGCATATTTTGGCTGCAGCGACCATCTTTATGCAGCATTGTTTGAGTCCCCAGAAAAGTATTAGTTTTTACTTTCCAGTTATGTCGTCATAAACACGTATTTCTCTTTCTGGCCATTTTTAAGTAATAAGTATAATTATGAGATGACGTTACAGGGTTAATTTATGACAACTGAAGCCATACATGGCTTCAGCCTTCCCTTTTTGCATTCTTTCATTTAGAGGTTAAAACAAATAAAATCACAACTGTGAGTTTGTGGCGATGGGCAAAATAACTAGTCAATAAAATTTATGATTTCAATTCTAAATGAGAAAAACTTGTACCGTCTTTCCTGGAAGGTTCGATAACACTCTATTAAGGTATTGCCTACCACGAGAATGTTTTCTTCAATTTCCATCATGCACGTTGGGAAATAACATGCATGTTGGGAAATACCCTTGTATTGACGCCAAACGTAAAACAGATCATACTTGGCCGCCTATTTCTCTGCTCAGTGTCTCAAATAGGCAAACTTTCATGAATTGAGGAAAATCCATGTACCGTACCTTGCACCGTAAACTAATAATCGTGGCACTCATAAAAAATGTTTTCCTTTACTTAGGACTTTGAATACAAGGTTTTTTTCTATTCCAAGATGGTGTGCGGTTGGAGAATTCCCTTGTATTGACGTCAAGTATGTTACAGTGACATAAACAAAATGTAAAATATATTAATCTGTACATTAATGCGTCCAATGTTGCAAATAGAGTTGATAACATCAAGTGGGGAAAAACTTTGGACAATCATTTGTGAGAAGCGCAGTAGTTTCCGATTACTGTGAAGTGATTTATGTACCGTAAACTACAGGCCGTAACGATCATGGAACTGCTCATCAGTATTTTCAATTACAGAACTAAAATATGAATTTCCGGTACATCGAGAGCACAGCATAAATGGTTTAATCGTTAAGACTTGTCATCGCATTGTATCGCAGTACTTTAAGGATGCTATAAATATATATAATATTAGAAGTTTTGGTGTGTAGTATCGCTAAGTATTTTTACGAGTTGTGCCGTATTTTGACAAGCCCCGCCGTAGAAGAAGTAAAAATACAACATAAGAGTAAAAATACTATGCGATTCTAAAAAAAAAACCGTTTAACATATTAAGGGTTAAAATCATAGGCTATATCGTTCCGTTCTTAAACATACAGAGCATAGTGTGCACTTTGACCAGAGTTAACAACCAACGCAGTCAAAATTGATTATTTGTATCAGTAAAATGCATCTACATATAACTTTTCGCTGAATCATACAAAATGTTGCTCTTTGAAACAACACGTTTTCTTAATCTGTTGAAACTGAAGCATTTTGCTTTCATTACATAGGAGAAATGTCCTTGTTGTCTGCCTACATATTGCTGCTTTGAAGCCAACATTTCGCTGTGTCTGGAAAAAAGCACAATACTTTGCGGAATCGATATGAAAAATATCCCTTAGAAATCCATTTTTTACGGAAAAATTTGGGAAAAATTTGGAAAACAAAGAATATTTTCGAAGGCGTTATACACGACGATGTCTCAGCAGGAAGTATATCGAAGGAGAAACACAAACATACATACACTCGTCTCATTACCCTGACAACATGTATTAAACAAAATTTTTCTGTTAGAGAATGTTTTTTCTCTTGAATGAATATTAGGAGGGAGCAATTGTTGCTGCAATGTCTTTAACAATTGTTATTTTCATTAAAATGAGAGAACATTAGCCTTGAGTGAATGTTCCTCTAAATGTAATAATCGTTATTGATCTCTCTTCAATGAAAACGCTTGTTTATTTTCCAAGCATGATTACGCATTCATTGTTATAACTGATTTTTTTACTGTGACCAAAATTTTTTTTCTGGCAATAAAGGGCAAAGGTGAAAGTATGTAGATCAACTTTCTTTATATACGGTTTATCCTTCAAGAATTATGAGTTAAAAATATACGTACCAACCCAAGCCTACCAAATACAACGTTACACTTATTCAAATACTAATTTACACGGATGCTTTGCTTTCATTCATTAAAAACGCAGGAAATCCACAAGAAAGTCAACACAGATGTAATAATAAGGTTTCCTGATCAAAAGTATTCCCACACATGGCCAGGTAACGGGTTGTAACATTTTTAGTAAAACTTAGAAATCATAGTCATAATTATGACTAAGATCTCTAAGTTTTAGTTAAACTGTTTTGAGATGTTAGCCCGGACTCTTTGATTTTCAGACCTTTCTCACATTCATCCTCGAGTATGAACTAGTGACGATTCTGTTAGTTTCGAGAACATGTAATTTAGCTCGGCAATAAATAACCTCAGCTCTATGCTACTCAGACGAGTCTCAAAGAATGTTTACATTTTATTTCCAATTTTAATGTAAAGTACAGATACATAATTATTCCAGTAAAATTATTTGATAGTGTTCGAGAAATGTTAAACTTATTTACTCAAATCATATGTACTCAGGAATCACATTAATTAACAAGCGTCAGCGTAAGTGTAATCTTGAGTGCAGTTGCAGGCTTTGGTTCTTCTCACGCGTCTTTTCCCCTCAGTGCCCAACTCAATTGTTACCCACTCATATTGCGGAACACACATAGAAGAGCCAATCTTAGCCAAGCTACTCAAACAAGCAAGGCTGCGGTTCTTGCAAACAGTTTCAGCAGACCCATGGCACGGATACCATCCAGCCTCACAAGGAGACTGCATCGTCTTGTTTTGAAGGCCTTCTTTACGAGGCTGAACGCAGAAGTCAAATACTCGTCTGCACCGTTTGCATTTTGTCTGGGAACGGCTTTTTCCACGTGTTGGTTGGTTGCGATGTTTGCGTTCGAAAAACTGTAGTCTGTTCCGCCACCCAATTCTTGAGAGTTGTGCAGTTTTGCAAGGGCTTGATTTACATTAAAAACAGCAACAACAGGGACCAAGAGTGACTGTAACGAAAGGAGAAAATGATATGTTCAATTTAATCCCCGCGTTTGAAAAGCACAGCTGCTCATGAAATGTTTTTCCTGAAATGTTTCGACCCCTTTTTTTCCAATCAATTGGTGAAAATTGGCGTAGGATTAAAATAACAAAATCATTGCAAAATCTGACGGTACTGAATAATAATAATAATAATAATAATAATAATAATAATAATAAAGGACAGCGGGAGTTTTTACCCTTTTGTATCGGGTCTGAACTCTTATGCTATTTGATAAAGGTGGAGTAAATTTTTGAGTTTACCTTTAAACCCAAAGTGAATCCTATGTTGTCACGTTTCTCTGGACAGCTTTGAAAGGATAATCAACCAGCTCCTTTCCTCATTTCTCTTAGAATATTTCCCGACGACAATCACCTTTTTATATCTGCGCGAGAGCAAGTGGTTCCGAGCTATTTTTACTATAATCAGCCAGTGATGTGTCATTTTGCAGCTGAGGTGCTCAAAAAAAATCATTTAGTGGTTGAATTGACACTTCCATCTCCCTTGTATCTTGTTTCAGAATTCAGTATTACGTGGAAATAATGAAAGACGTGGATGTTAATAAAGAACCACCAATGTTGTTAATTTATTTAATCATTATGCTGTTACCTTTACAAAATTTCTCTCTCCTCGTACATTTTGAATAGTTAGTATAGGTTCCCTTTTGAATAAAGCCGCGATCATTAAATCAGATGCTAGTTATCACCTAAATGAGATACGAAGCGGATTTGCCTTTAGGTGTGAGTAAGGAGACTCAGAGGTGTTTTCGCTTACACGCTGCTATATCGCACTCAAACCACAACAGCATTTCACTCTTGCTATCTCTCAAATAATCATAATTCACAATAATTCATCGATACTTTAACTGATTTCTGGTCAATAAATCAAAAAAGTAAAGTGAGAGGAAGCTAAACATAGCAAATGAATAAGAAGCCAGGCACGAAGGAGTACATTTGAAAAGCTTCGCATAAGATCAAACTGTACATTTTTGCAAAAATTAGCATATGTTAATATGCTAATTCGTTGCCTGACTGGGAGAACTTTGAAAAGCCCCTATACATGGTTTAGAGAACACTACGTTATAATAGACGGGGAAAGTTGTACCCTTTCGCTCATACCCTCTAACAGCGAAAAAATGAAAACCGAAAACTTGGAAACTAACAACCCCACTTCTCTCTCCCAAATGCTTTCGAAAGTCATTACATGAACTTATTAGTGTTGTGTCGCTGACAATAGCTTCCTAACTTATGAGATGCTTTGTTTCTGGAAGAGGTTTACAAAAAAATTCCTTCGAATCAAGTGTCTTAAGCAATACTTTTATTACCAGAAAAGTTTTACAAAAACATAATTACAGTATTATTATTAATAATGACACTAGCTATAAAAATAGCAATAATGGTAATAACGACGTTTAAAATAAAACATAATAATATTCAGGTAATCATGATGTTGATAACCATAATAAAACAATAAATCAACTTATACGATATATGCACTCTTAATAACGTTTTCTCACTACATACACAAGTAAATAAATATAGTATTTTTTTATGTACAAACTTATTTTGGTCTCGATTCTCCTGAAGTCGTCATGCGCAAATACAACCCTTGGTTCTTCTGAATTTCTGCGTTGCACCGTTTAGATTGACTTTCACAAAGTCATAAATTGGCTTACACTTTGGTGATCCGTACCTCGGGATACTACTGAGGCACTTGAAGCTGACCGCGTTACACTCCGCTTCTTGATAATCATAGCAGATAAGCCATCTCTTAACACAACCGTTTGATGAGATCCTATAATGACCAGCATTGCAGATATCTCTGAGTGTTTTCACTTCCCTTTTACTTCGGACATCTGTTGTATTATTCTGGTAAGCTACGTTTGGTTCAAGTTTGTCGTCGGCGAAATCTTCTCTTGAAGCTTCGAGTTCAAAAGGTTTACTGAGAGTTTTATTGGGAAGAATAACAGCCAGGAAAAAAAAGAAACACAGCCACTGCAACAGAAGAAAAATTGGGAAGTATTAGAATAATCAAAAACGACAATTTTTTACACAATAAAAGCCTTAGTAAAGAATTTCCAGTGTAAGAGGATCGTCGATTATGCGAACACAAATAAACTCACAAACGAATCAAAATCGAAGGCAAAAAATTTCGAAGGGGAGGGAGTGAGGGTGTTTGGAAAATATACAACTCTAAAAATTAACGCCAACAATACCCAACGCTTATTTTGGCCAAAAATAAACAATTAAATTGAAAAAAAATAACAAGCAAGGAAACAAAACAATTACAATTGTTACAATTCATTACAAAAAGCACACATTCCTGCAAACAATTTGCCAAGTTTGGTGAAGCGCATCGATATTTTAACAACATCAATACGTATCGTATGATTGGCAGTAAGGAGAATTACAAATTTAATCTGACAGTTAAAGAGTTAAGTTATTATCTTCTTCTCTCTTTCCAAATTCTGCGATAGGTCACTGATACATTTTCTTGTTACTCAAAAGCAACTTCGACCAATACGATCAACAAGGTCAAGACTGCTCATGTCGTTTAATTTACCTTTGACAATCCTGCCTTTGTATGGAAATTGACCATCATTTTCCAGTCTTCAATAATCTCTATTACACTGCAATTGATCTTCAGCTTCTGAGGGCTCAAAACTCAGCAGATATGTTGCTGTACATTTGAGGAGGTTAGCTTTTATACTCTCCAAACAATGATTTCTATTTTTATCTAGTGTAATCAGTCTATTTATTCATATCCTTTCCAAAAACCGGGAATTTAAACGTTGGTAAGAAGAATTCAGCTCTTCCAATGGTTCCGTTTAATTTTCTTAAATATTACTCAGATATACCAAAAGAAGAGAGAAAGCCCTTAAAATCTTAAGCGTATAAACCATTTTTGAGTCCCCGAAAAAGTTTTAATTTTGACTTTCCAGTTATATCGTCTTAAACACGTATTTTTCTGACTATTTCTGGCCATTTAAGATGACGTTACAACTTTAATTTATGGCAACTGAAGCCATGCATGGCTTCAGCCTTCCCTTTTTAAATTCTTTCATTTAGAGGTTAAGACAAATAAAATCACAACTGTAAGTTTGTGGCGATGAGCAAAATCACTAGTCAATAAGATTTATGATTTCAATTCTAAATGAGAAAAACTTGTACCCTCTCTCCTTTACCACAAGGATGTTTTCTTCAATTTCCATCCTCTGCACGGTTGGGAAATACCCTTGTATTGACGCCAAACGTAAAACAGATCATGCTTGGCCGCCCATTTCTCTGTTCGGTGTCTCAAATAGGTAAACTTTCATGAATTGAGAAAATCCATGTACCGTTAATAAATTTAGGGGACGCGCTGTAACGATTCTTGCACTGTACACTAATAATCGTGGCACTCATAAAAAATGTTTTCCTTTATTTATCACTTTGACTACAAGGTTTTCTTCTATTCCAAGATGGTGTGCGGTTGGAGAATCCCCCTGTATTGACGTCAAGTGTGTTACAGTGACATAAGCAGAATATAAAATATATTAATCTACACATTAATGTGTCCAATGTAGCAAATAGAGTCGATAACATTAAATTGGGAAAACCTTTGTATAATCAGAGGGTCGTAACAATCATAGAACTGCCCATCAGTATTTTCAATTACAGAATTAAAATTTGAATTGCCGGTACATCGAGAGCGCAGCATAAATCATTTAATCGTTTAGACTTGTCATCGCTTTGTATCGCAATTCTTTAAGGATGCTATAAATATGTATAATATTAGAAGTTTTGGTGTATAGTATCGCTAAGTATTTTTTACGATTTGTGCCGTATTTTGACAATCCGTAGGAGAAGTAAAAATACAACGTAGGAGTTAAAAATACTATGCGATACGTCTAATTAGTTATTTATATTCCAACTGCTCTATGTTATGCGCATTTCCTATGATGCTGAAAAAGCGAAGCAGATAGAGAGGCGTACAACACGTAACTGACCTGTTAGGTTTTGTTTTGTTTTGTTTTGTTTCATAGTACAAAGTAACCAACTGTCCAATATCGCGTGACATGTTTACTCGATTCGCTTTATTTGCACTTTACTTAGTGCCGTTCGATAATAATAAAAGTTATGGCCCCGATATGCGAATTATTTCCACTATAAAGGGAAATACTGACAAAACACTTGTCTGACAAGATGAGAAGGAACAAACATAATGTACCTTGATCATGCAGTTAGATACTGATTGGAATGGTCTCTCCCCTGATTCAGAGGTAATTGAAAGTGTTACGAGACACAAATTCATATATTGCCGTGCGACTACCTTCCAAACAGAAAGAACGAACTCCTATAATTTTGAATAATACCTTAATAGAGGGAGACACTGCGGTGTTCAGAAACCCACAAATTTCCCCCTCCTAAAAGTAGTGTAGCTAATTAATTTCATCTTCAGTTCAACCAAAAAAACTACACCAAAATAAAGCAAAAAAAGAAAAAAAAGTTAACATTCTGAGTATGAATATTTAATGACACTCACAGATGACCGGATCAGTTAAGTCTAAAAAAACACAAGCTTTAAAATCAATTTAAGTGTTGTCCACTAATGACATTTGAAAATACACATGCTGTATTTAGATAGTAAGAAATATTTTTTCGAACATCGATTCGAGGAAATCTAAACAAAACTGTCAGTAGGCATCCTTACCGCTATCCTGCAGTCCTCCTGCGGTCCTCATCAGATAGCTGGGAACGTTGCCATGGGGAATTTCTCGTTACATTAAGTCTCCTAATCTTGTCATTGGCCTCGTTAACCGTTGTATTGTTTAAAGCCCTTGAGGCTCACCCAGTGATAAAAACGTTCGTAATTATCACGTTAGCCATTATAAATATTTTAACTGTTCTCAAGTGACAGATGTCGAGGAACGCTTCAGATCACGACATGCATTATGGTGTAAGTCTTTGTTTTACACCAAGAAGCAACCTACTCAGTAAAAAAAAAAAAAGGCAATTGAAATGGCATTTTGACTCATTTATGTTTTATTTATGTTTTAGTCTTTTTTTGTTGCCTCGGGTGTTTTTTTAATTAATCTGCAAGATACACATTAATGGTGAGTACCTGCAAAATGTAAAGCAGCCTCAACATTGCCCGCACGCAATAATCAACTAACACGAAACATGAGCTTCAGTTTATGCAAACACCACGCAAAAATATCATGAATTAACTTTTCTTAGAGAAAATTAAATGAGAATGTTATGAAATCAATTTTATCGAGGTAGTTTTTGCAGCAGAAAGATTTTTTTAAAGATTTGAATTCAAGTTTAATGGGTAGGAATGAAGTGTTCAAGAGTATTTTTTTTTTTTTACTCAGACATGATAATACTTCAAACCTGGAGACAAGAAGGAAGCTATAATTTGCAATTAAGATAGTGACTTGGATCGGTTTGATCAAGCATTGATGTGTAAATAGACAGAACAAGTAAAAATTTTTAATTAAATTCCTCTCTATTTGCTCTCTTACTCGCATGCACAAACAACCTTATTTGAAAAACCACCTATGCTTTCGTTGCCACTCTTAATTGCTAAGCAGTTGGAAACAGTTGTGCGGAAAAACGGGCAACGATATGGTAGCTACCAAAGTTCATCTTCTGATGGCGCTAAACGGCATTCTATGCTCTATCGGAACTGTCGTCAATTTTCTAGTGATCGTCGTCGTTTTGAAAAATCGCCAAATGCGTAACGAACTCAACTTACTCATGGCAAGTTTATCCATTGCGGATTTGATCGTATGCCTGATAGCTCAACCAATGTACATTGTCATTTTGGGAAAAGAGACCACTGCTGGGTTTAAATATGCCTTTGAATTAACGGCTTTTATCGGTGTTCATGCTTCCTTCAATAGCCTCACCGGAATCACAGTAAACAGAATGGCTGTGCTACTTAATCCATTCTCCTACACAATGTCTCATCATCGGACAAGGTTGTATGTAAGCATCCTCGGTGGTATTTGGGGTTCTTCCATAATCCTTGCTTACTTTTTCACCACGGACAGTGGAAGAAAAGTAACCCCACACGTCCATACTTTCATGTTTGCATTATTTATTTTCACCTACACTTATATCTTCTGGGTGGCTCGCAAGCAGGTGCGCAAAATTTCGTCTCAAGTGCAATCCGTCTCCTTCAACCACAAGGCCGCCAAGATCAAAAGCGAAAACAGTGCGGCAAAAACGTCGGCAATCCTCGTGAGTGCCTCGTTGATATGCTTTTTCCCTGATATCGTGTTTGATTGGATGGGAATTGTTGACAAGATGAGGTTTGACTGGGCTTTCACCCTCCTGTTCTTAAGTTCATCGGTAAATCCTTGTATTTACGTCATGAGAAACGAGAGCTTTCGCTTCGCACTACTGCGAACAACACGTTGCATTCCCGTTTTAAGGGATCACATTATTTCATCCAATCGGGTAAATCCAATTGGTTTGGACAGTACTCATAGATCTAGAGGAGGAGCGTCGAGGAAAGAAAAGGGAAGCACTGTAAAAGGACAAACCGATTGTGATCTTGAAGAAATCGATTAGATGAGTTCATACATTTTCAAACTGGAGCTCCCTGAGCTCCTCAAGTAACAAGAAGCGTATACTCAGCCGGGGAGACATTTTTACAAATGTCAACGGCCAGACAGAACACTAATAAATTCAATTGAAAATACAAAGAAAAGTTCAATTACATTTTATGAAAGAGGGATTGAATACTCTGGTTATCTAATAGAAGACGTCAAATCGACATTGCACAACCTCAGCCTTGAAGCAAAGTTGTTACCATAACGAGTAGTGTTTCATGTGTCGGATAAAAACTACCTGCAGCTGGCGCACGATTCTAATAGATTGTGATCGTTGTCGATCAGGAATAGTAGTTTTTAGCTGATAAAGTTATATCAGTTTCAAATACTATACACCCAGATGGATAATTATGGCAGTTGGCATGCAGCTTCTTTGCGTGATTGTCGTAGCTATAAGTCATGGTCAATTTGTGAAACCTAGCGTTGGTTATTAAAGCCTTCAAAAAATTAAAATAAGACAAAACTAGCAAACACAACGCTGTCAAGTAGATCGACTATGACAATTATATGTGAAACAAAAATAAATAATACCCGGCCTCAGTACGACAAAGATTCAAATAACATTTATGCAGCTGCTCTCCTCACTTTTTGCATTAAAGAAGGTTCTACTTAATGCCAAGACAAGAAAGCAGAATTAGAAGGTTTAGAATTGCTAATTTACATCTTAAAAAGATTTTCCTAGTATCCGTCAGTCTAAATGGGCTGAAATGGATGTTTATCTTGATATTGACGGCGCGGTTTAATAAGCAGACTTTCTTGATAATCGAACACAAAGTATTTTTTTTTCCATCTTGTTTTTCCTTCCTTTACATCATATCACTTACTTTTTTTAATTTTGTTCGTATTGTTATCATTATTATTATTTCATTTGATCAGAGGAGAACTGATTACATAAGAAGCAAATCAATAAGGACAGTATTTGTCTGGCGGGGGTTCCAGTAAATAAAATTAGAGAAAAAGGCTGACAACTTTCTAACTCAAAGAGAAAGGAAAGAGCGCAAATTTAGCTTCGCAACAATCTGCAAAATTTGCGACAAGAGCTTTCGTCGATTCAGTCAGGGTCTGCTGCGAGTCCGAAAATCAAAAAAACTATATCTGATTTCAATGACAGCGGACATAAAAGAATAATATATGTGAACTGCAGATAAAGAAGTGAATATGAAAGCGATCTTCGCAGTAATGAGTAACCAGTAAATGTGATGAGTATTTTACTACCGTTAAAGTAGTGTTCACTACTGCGAAGACCGCTTTCATGTTCACAATTCCTGTTTTAGTTCGTTGCAAATGTCATGAGGAAATCATCTCAAGCCTTTATTAACTTTTTCGTTTATGATTATTCATTTACTTGGTATTTCTCTAAGCTTTTTAAGCTTTTTAAATTTAGGATCTATTCACTTCCCGCCTCGTCATTGCAAAAAATGAGTTAAATAAACGATGGCAATGTTCCTCATTACATCTTCGCTACCATGCAGGATATTTCCAAGTATCTCATTGTCAGATTACGTAATCAACATGTCTGGCTTAAGCGAAAGACAAAGCACTTTAATTATGTAGAGTTTAGAGGTTGATGGTCGGTAAGAGAAGTCCTTTTTGATTTGGCTCAGCAATAGCGGGCCAAGTGAATTGAAATATGTATCACTACGTATAATAAAAACACACAGCAGCTTTGTATGAGGGTTAATATGGTTTAATCTACTGTGTTTGATTTGAGTTCTTCGACGTCGTTTAACCTACAATGAAAAAAAGGGAAAAAAAAGAATATGAAAAAAACAATAAATAGACAAAGAAAAAAATGCGACAAAAGAAGAGAACATCGTCCTACGGTTCCAGACCCGTCAATTACCCCCACCAACCCCCGTACTCGTCCCTAAATCCCCTTGAAGAAAACCGTCGACAACCAGTGCTGAAGAGTTCCATTATAGTTTTTATTGCAGTGAAGGCTTCAAAATAAAGTGACAAGAGCTCCGCCTTTGGGCTTGGTTAATTCTTCATATGATGTTAATATCATATCAAAGAAGATATATGTGACAGCTGAGAGCAGTCTTTAGCAACTAATAGTGACATATATACCGGCGGTTTCCAGTTGCGTCATAGCTATTGTTAATTGAAGGATAAAAATTGGAACTTGGTTATGTTAAAAGTAACTTACAAGCATGGCAGGTTTTGGGGCAATCCTTTCTGAAACTCGGATATTTAATGCAGTAGTGCTTATACCTGGGGCAATATGTCTGGCTATCTCGGCAACCTGCAAAAGAAAGGCGAATACCAACTCATTGCCATCTGTTGACTTTTCGATCTCGCACCCACATCGCTTCTTTGGCATCGCCTCACCGAATTTATGCATCTCTGGTTGGTCTTTGTTTTCTTTCCCGATTTCAACCCAGCAGAGAGAGGAAAAGCGAATCGTATAACTGGAAACAAGGGTGCATTAAAAAAAAGAGAGAGAAAAAAAAGGAAAGATAAAATTAAAGTGAGAGAGACACAACTCCCTCATCGTCATTGTTGTGTTCACTTACCAGGCCCTGGTTTCGGTGGAGACGGCTTTGGGTGGTGTTGCTGGTGGGGGTGGCGTCGCTGGTAGCGGCGGGCTCCCTCCTGCACGGATTGTAAAAGAAAAGAATCGGGTGTAAATTCTTGCCTCGCCTGTTGCGTCTCTGAGCCAGGTCAGCCGCAAATGCTTCTGACGTACGTTTTCGTCCATTTTCGGCACAATCTGGCGGGGCGAAAAAGATATTCTTTCTTATCTTTCCTTACCTATTTTATTCATAATCCACGGGATATAACTTGTGATTCTTGCGAATACAGTGTAGGCGGTCGGCAAACATCCCTTTTTACCAAAGCTAACAGCACCGTGCAGATACCAAGAGTTACCCTGTTCACACACAAGTGGACCTCCACTATCGCCACGGCAACCAGCTGAATTGCTTTCCTGTCCCTTCCCAGCACATAAGTGAGCCTTGCTATCAAACCGAGTGTATTTCTTTGCACAATCGTCGTTCGACACTATAGGCATCTCCCCTTGTTGCAAGATGTTCGCTTGTTCGCTCTCTGAAACAAGGCCCCATCCTTCCAACAAAAAAGAAGAGAATATAAATTAAGGCAATGAATGTTCAGTGTTTCACGGAAACGAAAATGATTATCGTGATCATGAATTCTGGTGTTTGATGATTCAATGATTCATGAAAGCACTAGCTAAGCAGCGAACCTGACACTACGGATATAATCTCTTGAAATGAAGCAGACATTGTTTGAATGTTGTCTCTGTCATGTATGTAGCTAGTCTGCCGCGATTTTAAAAATACGACTACTGCGGACCCTTTCAGCGCATGGAAGACCTAGGTTTTTGTTAATCACCTAATGATTAAGTTATCTACTACTTCTAAAAAAATTAACAAAATAAACAAAAAACAAACAAAATAAACAAAACAAAACAAAAATACACAACCAAATAACAAATCTCAGAATACTGATAAGGGTTCCTGATTACAATTTTTCCAAGGATGAAAACAGACTTTCTCTAGAAATTAAAACTCTCAAACCTGTTATAAAACACTTCGTCCCAGGCTTCGGTTCCTCAGTGGGAAGGCAAACTGTGGAGACCTTATCACTGATCGTTGCTGAGCCTCTGAGCTCAAGAACCGCAATGTCATGTTTCAGAGTCTCCATAGTAAATTCCTCATGCAGGTGAATGGCCTTAACCCGAAACGCCTTTTCAATCGAAGTAAATCCAAGGCGTTTGTGGGCACCTAAAACGACAATATCATACTATTTTTTGGTTGTCATATTTATGACAACCAAAAAATTATACTTAATCACGGATATCGACAATCAAGTTCGCGTTAAATGATAATCAAAATTTCTTAAAGGAAATGGGATTCGGAATATGTGGAAATAGACATTGACATTTTTTAGCCAGTGAAGACATTAAATTAAAATGAGATCAAGAGCTTTAGGGTTTTTTTAAAGGAAATGTGGAGGGGATGGCACATGGAACATCTCGCACGTAAAAGAAAACGCGATTCAGATTTTTGGATTTGAACGTTTTCAAGACCTGAATTATAAGATGTTTCTCTTGTAGGGAAAATAAATAATCCCTCCGAGAGAGAGAGAAGGGGGGAGAGGGGGTTGGGGTAAGTGCCACGAGACCTCTCTCCTCCCAAGCTAACGTTTTAAGATGAGTTGGCTTGACGACTTAATCTGTGCATTACCTACAACAACTCTGTAAAATCCTGGATATTTATTCTTGTAGACACAGTGAGCGGCAGTAACCACCCAGTTGGGTTTGATCAGAGATCCACCACAGATGTGCATTCCATCTTTACGGAGAGATACCTGCCATGGCCACGAGTGAGGTGCAGCGTTTTGCCCATTTACCACTCGTGTAGAATGGAATGGTCTTTTGCCACATCCTTTAAAGAGGGTAGATGAACATGAAAAGAGCAATACAGTAAGTATACAGTAAGTTTTTTAAGTTAGCTAAAAAGAGCTTGACAAAAGATTAATCGGGGCAAAAGAAGATTTTCACAAATCAAGATGAAATTAAACCGACGCCAGAATAGTCTGATGAAATCCAACGAACTAAATCTTAATGATAGCTTTATTAAACTTTTAATCGGCATTAAAATAATTATGATGATATATGGCAATATAACCTAATCACCGCAAATGTTTTAAACAATAAAGAAGGCGGCATAATCTCACTTAAAAAGGTACGAAATATGATATGCAAAAAGAAAATATCTCACCTATAGTTAATAATATTTTTAAAAAAATTAATTATGGGAATGTGCGAAACAGTCACAACATTATTAAAAATTCAAATCTAGTTCATATTAAAAACACTGCACTACAGGGAGATATTATAGGTTTTTGCATGGTCTGCCACGAGAATTATCCAGCTGGACACTGGAAAGAAATTCAAATCTGAAACCATTCATTTTTTCTTACGTTTTTTCTCACACGCGCACCAAAATATCACATTTCAATCACCATGGAAACTGGAGAGGATACGTATCTTATCCTATCGGTTTCCACAACAACAACATCACTCACAAATCTGCTGAATACGAGTACTGGTCAAAATTGTTGCACTGTTCACTTCTGAAAGGGACTGCAAATACATTATTTATGAATTTGAGTATCTAGATTCGAGCACGGTGACAAGAAGAGTATTCAATGGTTTTTGAAAAGTTCATACCCGCGACGTGTCGAGCACGTGCTATTGTTAGACTGCAAAACAACTCTCGCTCGCCTCAATTTTCGCGCCTGAGTTTGCACAAGATGTACCAAATTACTTTCTGACTCGCTTGAAAAACGTTTTGGATTGTCGTCTTTCTTAAGTAACACGTCATCATGTAACCTACTCCAGGTGTCTCAGCTCAATAGCTCTAATATCTCAACAACTTCCCCAACATATTTGAACTAATCGAATGCAATGCAATTCTTTGGGAAAATAAACGTGGTTCTTTGACGTTCCCACGCATGGAAGATAGCTAATAAACTTGACGTAACTTTCGCGTCGGTTTTTGCTCAGATACAAAAGACGCGATTAGAGTGCGCGAGGTATTAAACCAGAACAGTGGTTCTGTGTTCAGTGCGTGCCATCTAAAGTTAAAATATAGTTATAATCCTGAGATAATGATAATGATATTTTAAGCAAGTATTTCATTTACGTACCGTGACAAATCGAAGGAGCTAAAAAGGCAACAAGTACAGAAAAAAGAAAAAACATCGTTAATTTTTTTTCACTGCGCTTCCTTCTCAACACTGGTGATGCGGATTGTCGGTTGGTTTCTCAGTTGACACTGTTCAGCAGCAGTTTTCTAAGTTAAACATAAAATTTATATCTGTTATTTTTGTTGTTTCAGCATTGCTCGGGGCAAGATTTTTATGGAATCCATTCAAACACAACTGCCCCATGTGTGTGAAATCGAGGAGTGTTGTGAAGGCTGAACCAAGAATTATGTGTAACCAGTTGATGTAAATACTGCATTGGTTCAAGCACACCTGCAAAGGTTTGTAGGCGTCTTCGTTACATTTGAAAACACAGATCAACGCATAACTAAACTGTCACGCAAAATTTTCCCAGAGGGAAATTTCCAGTCGTACAACGTCCATCATCATCCCGAAGAACATTTCAATTTTTCTTGGCTTGCCATCTCAGCTCACTATTAGCCATTGAGAAACTTAATCGATGTAACAAGCTGAAATGGCAAAATACTTTAGGGAACAATAAAAACACGATTTAAGATGGACTCTCCTATGATAGGGGATATAATTTGGGAAGAAGATCTAGTGCACAATGAGATAAGCCTGTTTGCGCAGTCTTAAGAAGCATTAGCGACACCCCTAATTGCACAGGAGGTAATAAGATTATTGTAGAAAATGAGATATGAACTTCTTAACACCACCAACAAAAAAGAAAGGTCTCATTGGGTTATAAATGAATGAGTAGGGAAGTACAAATGACAATAAAATGATACTCAGATCGAGCTAAAACTTTCATGGTGCATTACAAAAAAGAAGAAACGGACCAAAAAATGACGCCTCTCTGATCATATAGAAACATCTCTCGTTTCAAAACAGACGAATTTTTAATCCCTCCTCTCCTCTCCATCCCGAGAAAAGATGTATAGGTTAGGTAACACCCTGTTCATTTTATGATCAACAAGTTTTCTAACCTATTAGTGTTCCGTTGGTATTCAATAAGATTTAATTATTTGGGCTGTACGGTATAGCGCTAGAAATAATGGAGTGCTTTTGGCGCGCTTTTTTCTTTAGCTCATCTTTGTAGAAGTAAAATGATACGGGAGCATTAAATTTGTAACGATTACTTAGATGCTCGCAGTACTGTGTTCTAGTCCCTCCCATCCAGCACCGCCTTCCTCGGCCATTACTATAATATTTATTCAATATCAACAGACAAGAAAAGTTGGGCTTTTTATCATATACTTTTATTGCTTCCGTCGCTTTTGTCAAATGTGCTGATACAAATGAGTTTGGAATGAGATTTATATGCTATGCATCAAGGATTCAACCTAGAAAGAAAGAAATAAAGAATCAAAAGTTGTAAGGAAAGCCGCTTATCTTCATGATTCCCAGCTGAGCCTTTCAGACAATCATGAAGAAGATACGTGCGTTTTGACACGGCGGGAAGTAAAACTTACAGTTGTCACATGTGAAAGGGCAATCCCTTTTTATGTCAGGCATGAAGCGACACCACATCTTATTGGAAGCACAGTCTTCCCGCTTATCCTTGCAGCCTGAATGAGAATGCAAGAAAGAAAAAAGATCGCGATTCATTTAAAAATGGTACTTATGGAAACAATGGAACTTTCTTAGCACGTTATTGGTTCAGAGAACTAGATCGTCAAATCAACAGGTGTCCATCGTGGAGGTATTTTAAGAAAGCGCCATTAGCTTCAAACGACCGTAGTTTGCCCCACAACAATATTTACTCACCCGGTGGAGGCGTTTTGGGGGGCAGTGTCGGGGCTGGCGGTCTGTTGACTAATAAATAAAACAATACCGATCAGTGAGAGGCAAAATACGGTTTATTACAATCAAATATATTAACTTGTGATCAAGACGGATTTCAAGCTTCTTCATGACGCGGCTAACAAGAGTCGCTAAATCATTTTAAGCAGTGTACTTCAGCAATCTTTCACAATTTCAAGAGTAGTACTGAAAACAATCTGTTACCTAACTTGTCCATTATCCAGGGCAGGTAAGTCGTGATTCTTGCAAACACTGTGTTGTACTTAGTTGGACAGCCTCGTTTCCCAAAGCTTACAGCGCCATGCAGGTACCAAGTGCCATCCTTCTCACAAACAAGCGGACCACCACTATCTCCCTGACAGCCACCTGAGCCACTCGCATGCCCCTGTCCAGCACACAAATGAGCTTGCTTATCGTATCGTTCATACTTCTTTTTACATTCTTCGTGGGAAACGATTGGTATCATCGCTTGTTGAAGGATATCGGGGGCGGACCCACCTCCTCGAAGACGTCCCCATCCTGAAACGAATATGGTTATAAATCTGAGTCGACCCTCAAAACACTAAGAGAAATACACCATAAGATAAAATATGAAAAAAAAAGTTAACATGGCTCTAGATACGCAAAGGGAGATTGTGCATTTCCTTCTTGATAGGCTCAACCTACTCACAGTATTAGTTAATTTATTTAAGCGTTCTAAACAAAAGACTTGTTTCACTCCAAAGATTTGGTTACATTCGGTGTTCTTTGTAGACTTTAAATTCCCTAGCAAACTAAATTAAGTTTTTCAGAAGGAAAGGTTTGAAATATCGTTCCATTTAGATGAGGTAGAGCAGTTGATCAGTTAGCAGCTTTCACAGCAAATAGCTTCATACAATTTTTCTTTTCTAACCTGAAATATAACATTCAGTTCCAGGTGCTGGCTCTTCAGTAGGAAGACAAACGGGTGACACTTTATCACTGATCTTTACCGAGCCCTTCAGCTCAAGAACGGCAATGTCGTGTTTCAGATTGTTCATGGTAAAACCATCGTGCTTGTAAAGAGTCTTCACATCGAACTCCTCTTGAACAGAAGTTGAACCTTTTCGTCTATGCGCCCCTACGTAATCAGTTAGTAAATGAAAGGCTCATAGAAGAACTGTGACACAAGGTCTATCAAGGAAAAACCAAAACAAAACTGATGATTTGAAAAAACAAAAGGTGTGTTGGGTAAACTCCTAGTTATAAGCTATGAGGTACGTGTGGTACCAATGTTATGGCTTATGGGTTCCGATTCTAAAACTGAGCGTAGAATATCATATATGTTATATTCTGTATCACGATATCGACAAAGTTTTTTAGGGTTCGAGGGATGTGGAAAGGGCTCGTTGGCATCTCTTTTGTTTAGCCATTTCTTGATTGCTTGCGAACGAAAAGAATCAGATTCAATTGGTAATGCTATTTACGCATTGGGCGTGTACTCATTCTTTTTAATTACCTACTACAACAGTGTATCCTTGTGGATATGGAAAATTTCGTACGCAGTGAGCCGCGGTTACGATCCAGTTAGCTTTGATAAGAGATCCACCGCAGATGTGGTGGCCGTTAACCCGTAGGGAAACCTGCCATGGCCACGAATGAGGTGTTGCATTCTCGCCATTAACAACTCGCGCTGAGAATGGTCGCTTACCGCATTCTGAAATGGAGAGAAAAAAAATGTAACTTAACAGCGCCGGAAAACACATTTAAGGAACACGGAATTTTAGTAGAGAGCTTACTTCATTTAAGTGTGTTAAAGCGTCGTACTCGGAAAAACAATGTTACGATTGCTCCCAACAGAACTCTTAACCTCAGAACCAGTCAGTTCTGAAGTTCTGCTTGGTGATGAAAATGGCATAATGGCATATGTTGCAAGGGCTTTTGATGGTGCTTTTGCATCGACAACTCGCAACAGTCGAACTTATACTGGGCCGTGGCCTGGATCTTTACAGTCGTTTCCTGAGATAAACTTTCATTAAAGCCGCGTATAGTCGACTTCAATGTTTCTATTCTCATGTGAGAAAGGAACCCTGATCACAATAAACAAAATATTCACGAACTCCAATCTACCTCTTGATAACGAGCTCTGAATGTGCAACTTACCGGCTTCACGTTGGCTGATTGAAGGAACCAGTACCGAGAGAAGAACCGTTGCAATTGCGAAGAAAGACATCTTGTTAGACTAGTGGGCTCAGATCCTCCGACTACTTTGGCGACTAGTTTATATTTTTTTGACAATGCTTAGCGAGTAGTTTGTTTGCACATATCTCAGCTGTACCATCCCAAAGACATAACTTTTTAAAGGAAGTTTATTACCAGCTTTCGACTTAAAGGAAAATTCGCGATCTTTTCTGAGTTTCATTACCTCGCTATCTAGAGAAATAGTATATTTGCAGCTGGTAAACCAATGTTATTTCATAGACGTGACAGTTTATACCATGGGTTATTTGCTCACCTGTAAATGGTTGCACGCTCATCTTACACCTGATAAAACTATCCTCACAATGAGTAAATAATGAGCCATTTATAATACTTTTTTTCCCATGAATTATAAAATACATTGTGATTGACAGCGTCACTTGAAGATCCCAAGGCCTCTGCATAGCATTTCTTTAGCGATATATCACAACGCGAAAGCGATATCTTGCTTTGTACAGAAGAAATACAAGAAATATTTCCCTATAACATTATAAAACTAAACCGTTTTTTTTTGTTTGCCATTGTTTTATTTTATCCAAGCACTTTGTGCGTAAAGAATATAGGGTTATTGGGAAATCTTGCCGAAGTATCTTTGAGTGGCAGTCATGCTTTGTTGGGAGAAAATAAGGAGTTTGTTCCGCAGCCTTTGAAAAAAAACATTAAGTGGTGTAACGATGAGACAAAAGATACTTTTTCTAGAGAGTAGTGATATATCTTGATTAGTTTAATAACAGCTTTAGGAAAATTGGCGAGTATTTAGTGCTATTTCAGTTCAGTTAAAATATCGTTCAAATATCGTCCATAGCTTGCGATTTTCACGATGATCTTTGATAATTGTTTGCATTACTTTTTCAAAATTTGTTAATATGCATATTTTTTATAGCGATTTATGAACCGAAAGACTAAATTATAGTCTTCTATTAATCTCTATATTGGTGGATGGTTCTGCGGATATTAGCCCCAGGGAGTAAATGGGTTTGTATCAAGTATTTCGTATTAACCACGACAATTAGGAGTGTTAGGAAATAGATCGCTCCAGACGTTGCTTTTTCAATTCAATAAAAGAAGAGGGAAATAATTAAAAGAATTACTTTAGGGAAGATATGAACTACACGCGGTCGTTTCTTAGAGAGTCGCCTGGGAACTCCGAGCGAATTTGAATCAGGATTTTTCTATACTATATAAGTTCAATTTTTCCCTCGTAACCCAAACTTGACCGATGGATTTTTCCCACTTACATTTCGACTCGCCTCAAAAGAAATCAAACTTGTTTTTTATTTTTTTTTGTATTTGTAGGACTTACCCGTTAACCGGAATTCACCTCAACCCGTATGTGCTGGCTACCCAGTTTTGCCACGAAAATTTTGTTACTTAATTGTAAATCCACCCACGATTAAACCTTTCAGTTTCCAGAAGAAGAAAAAAAAAGGAAAAAAATCAGAAAGATAGGAAATAAAGTGAAATACATCAAAAGGGACACGATTGCTCAATTTGCAGCTAAATACTAATTTTATTTTCACTTAAGCTTAAATCATCCTTTATGCTGCAACAATTGAATCCAAGCCTCTGTTTGATGCTTTCCAAATCTAACCTGTTGAGCGTTAAAATAAAATAAAAAATGAATCAAAATTATTAAGCGAAAGGAACATTCATCCCTCCAAATGGCTGGCAAAGAAAAGCATGGAGTGTAGTTGATTATATATTTTCGATCGGAACGACGTTGAGTAACTAAAAGTCTGTGTTACTGAGGAATTTCTGTTTAATTCAAGCAAAGGATTTGGGTTCCCCTTCCTAAGAGGAGGATGGGCGTAATTGGCCAATGTTCACAGTATCAAGAGTACCAAAGTTTATTCATTGTGTAGGATTGGGTTTTTTTTCGCATCTTTGATGGAAAAAAAATTTCTCTATCTCATTACTGAGCTTAAATTTACCATCTTTCTTATATTGTTTAATATTTTTCGGAGTAACTTACATGCATTGCATGTCTTTGGACAATATCTTTTAATTTGTGGCCACGTTGCGCAGTAATGTTTGTTTGCTTCACACGCATTCCAGTTGTCCTTACAACCTGCAGCGAGGAGAAAAATAGTTCATTTTTCCGCCGAGCCTGACTTAACTCAGAGAATGAGTATTTTATGATACGTATGACCGTCTCTCTTTCCTTTTCCTCCTTTCTATCTTTAACTCACAACTCACGGGGCCACACAGCCTGTCACAGCCCTGGACAGTCTTCATACGGGAGTTTTTACGTAATGTTTTTTTTTTTTGTTTTGTTTGTTTGTTTTTTTTTTTAATAAAAAAAGAAAAATAATAGAAAGGAAACTTAAAATATTTTTATAACATCTTGCTGCAGACATAAAAAAATAACATTTTACTTGTTTTATGATCAGACGTCTGCCGTTCACAAAAATATGACTTTGTAAGACATAATTCCGCGCTAAACACATGGACGCTTTGCGGACCTATGTTTTTTCTTGCTCGGGATCGATTTGAGTGAGCATTCCCGAGTGGGCAAGATGGGCTCATCTTGTCCACTCGGGTGGCCAATAAGAACATAGGATTTGCTTCAGCGGTTATATCATACAGCCGGAATCTCGAACAAAAACGATTGGAGAAACAATAGATATTTAGGAAATTAACAACAAACATGTGACAGTAACTATCGTTAAACGCACTACTTACCGGGTGGTGGTGGTGGTGCTTGCGTCGGTG